TAGAAGTAACAAACAACAAGTACATGTGAATTGAGTTTTCCCAGAAATTTTTCCTAACTTTTAGTTTTTTTACTACCGCATTCAATGTTTATTAAAGGTGAAGAGCTACAATTTTTTTAATCTAAACAGGTCCATATCTAAACTTTCTATCGGCGTTTGGTTCACTATTTTATTTCTACCAATATTGTAATAAATAATAATAAATATCATTATTTTAAATTAAGGGGCTAACTTTTAAATTAGTCATTTGTTACAATTTATTAAATTCAGCGAACTTAATGTAACATTACTTTAAACTGAAAAAGAATATTATATAAAATGGGTTAATTATCTGTTGCTCTGATATTATTGATTCTACATTTTAAATAAATGAGTCCCAACCATACAAGATACATTTTTTTTTAGATTTTACACCTTTTCTGTGTTTCTTTTCATTTACTAACTATTAAGAAAAAAAATAGTATTCACTTACTCGGTTTCCTTGCCCAAGAAAAAACGTCAACAAGGCAATTATAATAAAGTTGATCCCACCCGCAAAATCAGTCAATTTATCGAACTGAAAGCTGGCAGCTATGGAAAAAAATATTAGCTGCATACTGACAGTCACTATTGCGCTAATGGCATAATGGTCAACATCAAGTATTTCCACTGCCATGATTTTATTTACTGTTTAACACGCCCACTGAAAAAAAAATGTATTTGACTTGACTTGACTAGGCAAATTTATAATAGAAAACCAAATAAAGCACTACTAAAAAAGGAAAATTAAAACAAGAATTGATTCGATATTGTAAGTTCCAAGTACCTATGGGCACACTTAGGTTCATTCAATCAAAAAGTTTTTTGTTGTTTTATTTGTGTTTTTAAATAATTTTTGAGCGATTTAAATTTCATAGTAGGTACATTTGGTAATTTTATTTGCCTTTTTAAAGAGGGATTAATAAAATGTTTTTGTTTTATTACGAGATACGAATAAGCATTATTTGATTGCCAAGGTTACACAGCATCTTAAAATCAATACATGTACCATGTTCCAAGCATTAGTTTTCTTTTTCGAAATTAATTAAAAAAAAATCATTGCTGATGCAATTTTACTGCTAACGTTTAAATTGCAGGGTATAAATAGACGTGTTTATAACATTTTGTAATTACATATAAAATGTGTAAAATCAGAAGAACACAGAAAACATGATCATACAGTTATGACGAAACACGTTGTTCAAATAGAAGCTCAAATAATGATTTGTTCCAGTTTCTAAAACTAGAAGTAAATTAAAAAATATCTACTTGTGGAAGAAGAACTCCTAGGTGTCCAAATAATATCCAATTAAACATATAAAAATAGCACAGTGAACAACCTTTGGGAGAAAAGTACAAAAATCTACATAACAACGCGATTAAATTGCGTACCCACCTCAAAAAAATAGTTTCTTTTTACAGAACCGTTTTTATTTCGATTACAATAGACACTTATACTTTAGATATTTTTGTAACACGGTTGTTTAACATTGTAAACAACTTACAAGCTCAACTTTAATAACAAACTATATGTGAACACGTTGTCGCATTAGTTAGCGCTTTCGAAATAACTGAACTCAACTGCGCGACGCTCTCGACGATAGGCGTTGCGACGTCGCGGAATAGCGACGAAAATGATTTTCGATTTGTTACCTCTTCTCTCCAAAAATTTCCATCCCGTAGGTACAGATATTTAGCACAGGCCCGTGTATTGACGAAGTTAACGTAAGGGTAAGGAGAATTAATAACTGGAATTCGTATCAAATTTACGGATTATACATACTTATACAGAACCTTAATTTTATTGAAAAAATCGGTTGTCTGTAAAGTCGGTTTACTGACGATAATTGAGCGTGACAACATCAGAAGAAAATACTGATGGAATGGTTTCATTTTTCAAAAGAAAATTTTAATTTTATTTGTTTGATAGATATTTTGTATGGATATAGAGAAGGAGGTAAATGGAAATGTATTATTGTATAGCAGCTGTCCACGCGGACGCATCGCTCACTCAAGTAGGAGAGAGACAGATGTCGAACGCTGCCGAACGCGGAGGCCGATTGTGCCTCTTTGTCGCTCGTTCCGCGCTCTCGCTTGCACTTGAAGCCTTAAATGGAACGCCTCAGAGCGAGGTAATGCCGCATAAGTCATGTTTTTTCGTGCGTGCAGCCGGCTCCATCGAATTATAAGACGTTGTCACGTCAAAAACCTTGATGAATTTATAATTATTTTTTTATTTATTTTACTTTATCGAGTACTAGATTTTACTCGCGGCTTCGCTCGCGTTGATGTCTTAAATACATGTCAAAGATCATTGACGATCACATAAAACTAATTTTTCTATCCCTCGGGAACAGTATTTTTTTTCTAGATAAAAGGTACCCTATGTCCTTTTCTATACCCTTGACACCCCGACAATGTGTCTACAAAATTTCACGATCGTCAATTTAGTACTTAAGGAGTAAAATCGACCTTTTAAAAAATAATTTTTTCTATCCCTTGGAAACAATATTTTTCTGGATAAAAGGATAGGATTGGTTGAGTAGTTAAAGCGTGAAAAGCCGACAAACAAACTAACATTCGGATTTATAATGTAGGATGTACCCAAAAATCAGATTGTAATTCGCGTTTAACTTATTTTAAAACCTGTATGTAACCTAATTACTGTACTAAAATATGTTTACTTGTGTGCAGGGGCGCAACAAGGGGGAGGCTCCACGGGTGCCTGAGCAGCCACTCCATTGGGTTGGGCACCTAGTCAATTCCAGTCGATTCAGCTAATAACCCAACTTGAAAGTTCGGTTCAAATAGTTCAAGCTCGTAAATGAGCAGCCGAACTCGATCTTTTCAGCTTGTACACCCCCGCAGTATATAAATATTTATAGTATTATGATAGGAGCACCCAGTCAAACTGCAACGTTGTTGCGTCCCTGCTTGAGTGTGACATGTACGAAGTAGCTAGCAATCGAGCAGAAATAGAGAACAAGTAAAACTTAGCAACTTTTTATTACTAAAGAATTTTTAAGATCTTTTTTTAGCATTTCCTAGAACCCTTACAGTTTCGATTTGGAATCCGGATATAGAGTGGCGACCCAAAAACAGAAATAATTAATAAAGATATATTTTTTTAAATCCCCTGCCGAAAGACCAGAGAGTCCCTATTCGTAAGAAAGGACTTGTAAAATGCAACACAAAATATTTTATAATCTTTGATTAATTTGATTTCAGAGTAGTTATTGAACCCCCTCTTGTCTAATTTCTAAACTATTACTGTATGAATAATATCTTAATTGTAGCCATGAGTTGGTAGATATTTCGAGTGGAAATCATTTCAAAAACGCTTTATTTTTATAAACGGCTACGAAACTAGGCCACGCCGAAGAGGGGAAAAACAGGATTGAAACGAAGATTTCTTGATAAAATTTTCCAGTCCGACTCCCTAACGATTGGCCTAATAGTATGTAGTTGTGTTGTCATCACAGAATTTATAATTAGCTACGTTTTTTTATCTTAAAACTTTTTTAATTGTTACCGTACGATTGACAACAAACTCATGTGACCAAAAATACACATTTTCTCAAATTAATTTATAAAATTGTAAATTAACTTTTACATTTAATCTTAATCGGATTATTTCTTAACGAACGAATTCAATATTTTATTCAGAAAGTCTATTATCTTCACACATACATAAATAGAAGCATATTGTTTCTCGAGACAAACATCCAAGGTGACCGAATGATGCGATTGTAAAAAAGGCTGTTAAAGGGATTAGGACAAAGACAAACAGAACAAATTCTTTTTAAATGAAGAAATAAATTGCAGAATTTAGTTACTGTTACAAATTTCTCAATCGTTGGACAGAAGACTAAAAATTTATTGCCTTGCTCTTATTATTACTATACAGGGTATCTTACGGTGATGACCCATTAGAATATTTCAAAAATAACTTCGAATTAAGTTTTAAAATTTTGCGATCTACTCTCTTTAAATAAAATAATGCCATTCCTGTATCACTTCCGATCATACTGGAAGTTTTCGTCAACTTTTTTATTTTAAATAGAACACTCTATATGTTTATGAATTTTTAGAATCTACGAGGAATTTTATAAAGCTTCCTTATGTCTAGATGTACTTGTTCTGTTATGTTTTTTCAGTATCTTACTCAAAATTGCATATTTCTTATATTATGTAAGCTGAAGTATTAATATTTGAAGGGAAGTTAGGGGGGGTTACCATCATTTACTACAGTTACGTTAAAATTTGTTTAGTATTATACAAAGTGATGAAAATTTAATACCAAAACCGAAAATAATATGTCACCTTTAACAAAATCATTATCCGCATTTTTAACTATAAAAATACTTCTCTATCAGAAATCGTATAAAAAATCGTAGTATAGGTACCAAATAAATTTAAATAGATCATTAAAATCGAAAAATTTAATGGCGTACAAATTTCGACTCACACACTGTAGCATTTTTATTTTTGGGTAGTCTTCTAGACTACAGTGCACTAGTTTAATTTCGGGCGATGGTACCACATTCCTTTATAAAAAACTCCCGCTTTCAAAAAGAGGGTTTAGAACATTCACTTGTAACTTTTAGCCATACAATTTTAGTTTAACTTTACCCACAACTACTTCATTATTTTGATTTATTCAAGTCGTTTAATAAAAGGGAGAAATTAATTTATCAAGAAGTAAAAACGACGCATTTAAAGTAAAAGTTGCAAATGCACCCCGGTAATTTCTAACTAAAATTCTATCCACTGATAGCTCACAACTAGATTAATACAGTTTAATACGCTCAGCTCATTTAATAAGGAAAGAATTAATTTATCAATAAATAAAGACGATGTTTCTAAAAAGAGGGTTGAATGTGAACCCCGGCAATTTCTAACTCTTAACATTATTTTCACTGCTACCAAATGACCCGCAATAATCTTTATGTATGTACTTTCACTCGTTTAATAAGGGATAAATTAAGTAATTAAAGCAAAGAGAAGACGTTATTAAGTTGGGGGTTGAACACGTGCACCCCAGTGTAATTTCCAGCTGTAAAATTACTTTGAATCATGCCTTACAACACCTTTAATATATTTTGGTATTTTCAGCTTGTTTAATAAAAAAAAGATACAAAAACGAATCCTACCTTTCGAATGCAGTAAGAACAATTCTAGAATATTGTAGTACCCACTTCCATTGTAAACAACTCAAAACACTGAGAGAAAACTTCGTGGACGAATAGTTAGAAATACTAAAACAATATACAATATTTTATAATTAATAAAAATAAATTGAGCCAAATGTTAAATAAAATCCTACCTTTCTTGATACGTCTAAATTGCAATCGAAAATATTTTTATGGCAGTGGCTTGTAAGGAATTTTCTTTCATAGACAATGCATCCAAGAAATTTCCCTTTAGAACAAAAATTACACTAAAGTACATGTATTATCGTTGTACACCCGTAAAAATTTCGATTTAGACGTATTTATTTATATTTATAGAATACACGGCACTTATTTAATTCGTGATAGTTTGAATTTAAAACTGTTCGTGATTGCTCGCCCTTTATGTAGACAACCCACCGTACTGCACAGTATTCTCATCGTCAGTGCAACGGTAGTAGTTATAATTCCTTAATTAAAGACTCTGTTTTCAATAAGAGGGTTTAAAATATTATTCACTAAGTACTTAACTAATAAATTTTATCTTTTCTGACAACACAAATAAGTAGTGACATTTAATTTTTTATATATAGCGACGTGCACATAGACACAACTGGTTCTAACCTCAAGTAAAGGATAGGATCATAAAGAAACGAATAAAATGTAAATAAACAATAGTTGCATTAAAATAAACCACTTGTAAAATTTATAATTAAAAAAAGTGGAAAATGGCGTTACCAATATTAATCCCAGCATACCGAAGGAATATTTCTAAAATATTGCTAACATATACAGCAAAAAGGTGCAACAAGAGGTATGAAGTACTTGCAGTAATAAAAAAAATAATCAAACCGAATTTTTAGGCAATCACAAACTTCAGGGAAACGGTCTTCACCAGTGTATAAATCGGAAAAGGCAAAAACCAAAATAAGGTTTTATCTTTTGGATCAGTATTCATATTATTTAGACAAATATGAAAAAATTTTGGAAAAACAACTGCCAGGGGCAATGAAAATATATAGGATATTTATGGAAGGAATTAAACATTTTTTCCGAGATTTTAAAGAATTTATAAAGATATACAGAGAAGTGAACTTTAGTACAAGAGACATTAGAACTTTGGAATTAAACCAATTAGAATTATATGATCAAATGCCAAGAGACATGCTTAAAATAGCACCTGTCCTTCTTATATCTGCTCTTCCACTTGCAAACTATGTTATATTTCCATTAGCCTTTTATTTTCCAAGGCAACTTCTTACTCATCATTTTTGGGATTTAAAACAGAAATCTGAATTTAGAATATACTTTCTTCGAAAACGACTGTTGCACAATCGACCGATTTTTAGACATTTACAAACCCAGCTGCCAAATTTAAGGTCACATGACCTACACAAACAGTGGTCCCATGTATTAGGTCAAATAGGAAGTGGTGTTCATCCTACTGCTTGTGAAATATTAGAATGTAAGGATCTATTTGAAGGAGAACCTTACCACATATATTACATCAGTGGGAACCATGTGGTAAGCATTTTGTATGTAGTATAAAAAAATTCTAAACTAGTCAACATTATATTAAATGTTGCTCAAATGGTGCCTTAACAGAGATCAAATATGCATGCATAATAATAGTATTTTGGTTTATATTCTTTTTGTTGATTGTTCCTAAGTAAGTGGTTCTTATATACATTAAAAGTGACAAATTTTTATTAAAAATGAAATTTAAAATGTTACTTACTTCAAAGTTTTTCAAACTTTCAAGTACTTAAATGTCACTATAAACATTTAAACGTTAAAATAAAGGCTATTAAGTTTGAATTAGGCACTTTGGATTACTCCAAAATCACCTATTGATTAAACATTAAAGCATCTATAAATAATTCCATTAATTTGATAAATATTTTTTAGAGACATTTGATAAAACTGCATGATTTACATGCTGGGTTTTTAAAACGGTCTCGATTAGTAGAACAAGCAGCACTAATACAAGCAATGGATAAAGCAATCATGAAACAGGGGGGTGTAGATGAACTGGGAATGGAGAGCTTAAGAACTGCTTGCTTTACTAGAGGTATTTTTATGTTTATTTTTTTATTTTGTAATGCATTCAAATCAAGTCTTTTATATCGAAAAATTTAATGAAAACCGTTAACGATAAAATGAAAATTAAANGTAATACCATAAAACACTTTCTTATTATTTTCGATTATTTGAAATTAAACTGCAGCTACTTTTCTTTTATTAATAATTGGTGATAGATGAGGAAATTGGTGTTATTGAAAAATGTTACTACTATGGTAACGACCATAGATAGTAGCGATTACGACTAATCTTAAGCACTATTGAACTAACCCATAGATAATCTAATCTATGAACTACCCTTTGTATATCTATTATCTATGGAACTAACCTAATCATAATAAACATAGACAAGATAGTAATAGTGAACTAATTTTAAGCAAGATATTGCAAACTAAATATGTATTAGAAAAGTTTAAAGATTTCTTCGGTAAAGGCAATTGAGAAGATTTTTAAAACATTAAAAATCTACAAATTTCCACCCGTTTTAATAATTATTAGTAGATTATTACTTCTGAAGGCAAGTAAGTAGACCTTGTTCTTCTGTTGCTACTTACATAATTGTTTTGTCGTTTTCGTAAAGTATCAGTACATCGCATATACTTAGGAAGTTTTAAGGTGCCAGATATCTGAAGGACAACCTCTGAAAGGATCACAAAGTAAAGTATATTAGTTTATATTAATAAATGTACCAATCCTTTAAAGCATTTCAATCTGTATCATGAATGCTTTTAAAATCAATAAAGCGGAATATTTACTTTAGAAATAAATATTTGCAGAAAAAGAAATGAACCACGAAAAAAGTTTTTAAAATATCAGTAAAACGATAATCTAAAAAAAATTGTAATAATATAGCAGCTACATAAAAAGAGATACAGTATAACGCTGTTGAACGGTTAGAGGAAAAATAATTAAAATCCTCTGCAAAATCGCTTCTAATTCGTTTATTATTCTTTTTAACATCAATTATATCTTCTAACTACCTTTTTTTTAATAAAAACAGTAATAAATGTTGCCACGAAATCATCATTTCTTAGTTTTGTTACAATTGAAATCAATCAATCACATATATAGTAGATATAAATTTAATGTATCACAAACTCTCCTAAGTACTTTCAAAAGGTATAAAGGAAGGCAATTCACCCAGCTTCGGACGTTTCGGTAAAGGCGCTGAAATTTCTTCAGTATGGTTGTCATTTGAATGAGTATCTGAATGCAAAATTTTCGTTTCATTGTTATCATCAACATGTATATCGTTTGAAGATGTTGGATTAGAATCTATATAGTATCTTTTTACCAAATTATTGGCAATTTCTACTTTTTTTGTCGATTCATTTAATTCTTTGATTGAATTTTTAGGAGTTTGCTTATAGTTATCTTTTTTAATTCGTTTTTGAGAACTTGACGATTTTGTGGCAACCTTTATAGATATTTTACGTTTTCTTACCACATTCGCATGTGGATAGGGGCACTTCTTCTTCAAGCACTTTCCCAATTTTTCAAATGCAGGGCATAGGTATTGGTGACGTTTATCACACTAGAAATAGGAAACATTACAATAAATAAAATTTAGTAAACTAGAAACTAGTACCTCTCTGCCTTTATCGCAGAAACCCTCTAAAAATTTCTGGCAAATGTCTGCTTTTGCGTTTATTTTCACATGAAGGTACTGGCAGTTTTCTCGTGTACACAAGCCTTCCAAAAAGAATTTGCAGGTCGCCATCTTTTCCGGCGATACTTTATGTGACAAAAGACATTTATCGTTTATGCAGGCTCCTTGCAAAAATCTTCAAAGAATAGACGAAATTATTATAAATATAAGACTTTAATAAAAAAAGCAGTTTGAGGATAGCTTAAGCAAAATATAAAGAGGTGTTAAGAGTTGAATTAACGGAAAAAAACAACAGATGTACTAGTTATTTCCTAAGAATGGGAGAAAGAAAATCGAGTAAAGAATAAAAAACTAAGAGAAAATTATTAGGAATCTAAGATATTGCATTTGACATAAAAAAGGAGAAAACCGCAACGTTAGAAACTAGAAAAATTATAAAAATTTATGAAAAGGCACCTCAGAATTTAAATTGCTTAATTGTATTTAACTTACATGTAACAATTATATAATTAAAAACATTTTATACATGTATAACAATATTTTTCTATTCAAAACGTACATTTGTTTAAGAAAGAAAACTAATATAAACTCACTTACTTGGGACACAAGGAGATTTGATCAGGATTATGCACACGGTTGCATGTACCCTTTTCTTTACCTCTACAGCGTCCATATTTTCGAAAGAATGGACAGGGAATATTACATTTTTTCATTCTGTTTAATGAACTGCAACTGCTTATATTTTTCTGCTTAAAATGACTAAAACAAAATATTTAATATGTTCTTTTTTTATCACACTAAAATTAAATTGCTCAAAAATGTGTAAAACATTAACTTTAAAAATAATGTAATAGTTATTTACCTTGTTAAATTATGTCTTTTATTGGCATTGTTTTTAATAGGACTATTTTTATCTTTTAAATTATGGACAGCACGTGCAGACATTGGTTGTCTTGTTAAACAGGTCAGTGTTTTGTTATGGGCATCTAATTTGAATTTTTGTCCTCTTATTGTGATTAGTTTTCTTCCAATCTTTTTATTTTGACTTAAGGTACCATTTGTACTATTTAACTTATTATTCAGTGAAGTTCTGTTTAATATTCTGTTGATACCCACAAACTGTGTCTTACTCAGAATAATTTTTTTCTTTACATACAGATTTTCTGATGACAAATTATTGAAGAAATAAAACCGCTTCTTTCTTGTTTGCTTCATCTCTGGCAAATATTTTATATAATTTTTATTGTCTAATAGTACTTTATCAATCTTGAATCTACTTTTTGCATAAAATAATCTCTTAATATGGAAACCATCCTTATCACTGGTTGGTTGATCTTTACTAAATGATCTTCTTACTAAACGATATCTTGAGCAAACTAAAAATTAATGCAGAAATATATAATACCATGAAACAATAAAGTTAAATGAAACCTTACCTTTCTGCCGTTGTTTAGTTGGAGATACTTTGTAACTACTTCCTGCTTCATTTGGTTTATTACAGTTCACAGAAGAAGCAACACGAACCAGTTTAGTTTTAGTATTTTTTATAACAGCACCTTTTTTCTTTGCTATTTCTTCTTTTGGTTTGTAATTGTCTTGCGTCAAAATTGTAGATGTTGTTTTTGTAATTTCTGTTGGTTTTATATTATTTATTGTTGATGTCTGATAAATTGTAGGAATAGAGGCCATTGTATATTGCAAACTTTTCTGCATTATAACATTAGGATTAACAAAAATTGAAGTACTAGGTGTTGAATGAGCCATTTTATTAAAGTGGGGATTAACATGAACACTTTGTTTGAAGTTAGGGTTTATTAATATTTTTGCTGGTGGTATATTAGAATTTTTTTGTTGAAAGCCATTTTGTACCATATTTCTATTAACGTATACAAATTTATTTGTAGATTGAGGTACAGGTAAAATGCCAGTAGTTCCTAAAATTTGGAAATCCTCTAATTAGTAAAATCCTTTCAAAATACCAAAAACTCACCTAGGCTTCTATCAAAATTATTGTTATGGGACATTATAAGGCTACGTAACGTCGTTTCACAAAAACACTTAAAATGTAATATTGATTCACCATAAAAAAATCACAAAAATATTTTGACGAAGCAAGTCAAAAATGTATCTTCGTTCTCGACTTTTCACCACAGCACAAAATTACAATGAGCTACAATATGTTTGACATGTTTAACGTTGAACATCAATTAATTGACATTGAAGATTGAACACATAGATAATAGATTGAACACGTCTAATCATAGACAAGCTATGATCATAGATAATAGCATAGACAAGGTGCTGATAAAGTAATACCATAAAACACTTTCTTATTATTTTCGATTATTTGAAATTAAACTGCAGCTACTTTTCTTTTATTAATAATTGGTGATAGATGAGGAAATTGGTGTTATTGAAAAATGTTACTACTATGGTAACGACCATAGATAGTAGCGATTACGACTAATCTTAAGCACTATTGAACTAACCCATAGATANAAAAACATTTTATACATGTATAACAATATTTTTCTATTCAAAACGTACATTTGTTTAAGAAAGAAAACTAATATAAACTCACTTACTTGGGACACAAGGAGATTTGATCAGGATTATGCACACGGTTGCATGTACCCTTTTCTTTACCTCTACAGCGTCCATATTTTCGAAAGAATGGACAGGGAATATTACATTTTTTCATTCTGTTTAATGAACTGCAACTGCTTATATTTTTCTGCTTAAAATGACTAAAACAAAATATTTAATATGTTCTTTTTTTATCACACTAAAATTAAATTGCTCAAAAATGTGTAAAACATTAACTTTAAAAATAATGTAATAGTTATTTACCTTGTTAAATTATGTCTTTTATTGGCATTGTTTTTAATAGGACTATTTTTATCTTTTAAATTATGGACAGCACGTGCAGACATTGGTTGTCTTGTTAAACAGGTCAGTGTTTTGTTATGGGCATCTAATTTGAATTTTTGTCCTCTTATTGTGATTAGTTTTCTTCCAATCTTTTTATTTTGACTTAAGGTACCATTTGTACTATTTAACTTATTATTCAGTGAAGTTCTGTTTAATATTCTGTTGATACCCACAAACTGTGTCTTACTCAGAATAATTTTTTTCTTTACATACAGATTTTCTGATGACAAATTATTGAAGAAATAAAACCGCTTCTTTCTTGTTTGCTTCATCTCTGGCAAATATTTTATATAATTTTTATTGTCTAATAGTACTTTATCAATCTTGAATCTACTTTTTGCATAAAATAATCTCTTAATATGGAAACCATCCTTATCACTGGTTGGTTGATCTTTACTAAATGATCTTCTTACTAAACGATATCTTGAGCAAACTAAAAATTAATGCAGAAATATATAATACCATGAAACAATAAAGTTAAATGAAACCTTACCTTTCTGCCGTTGTTTAGTTGGAGATACTTTGTAACTACTTCCTGCTTCATTTGGTTTATTACAGTTCACAGAAGAAGCAACACGAACCAGTTTAGTTTTAGTATTTTTTATAACAGCACCTTTTTTCTTTGCTATTTCTTCTTTTGGTTTGTAATTGTCTTGCGTCAAAATTGTAGATGTTGTTTTTGTAATTTCTGTTGGTGTTATATTATTTATTGTTGATGTCTGATAAATTGTAGGAATAGAGGCCATTGTATATTGCAAACTTTTCTGCATTATAACATTAGGATTAACAAAAATTGAAGTACTAGGTGTTGAATGAGCCATTTTATTAAAGTGGGGATTAACATGAACACTTTGTTTGAAGTTAGGGTTTATTAATATTTTTGCTGGTGGTATATTAGAATTTTTTTGTTGAAAGCCATTTTGTACCATATTTCTATTAACGTATACAAATTTATTTGTAGATTGAGGTACAGGTAAAATGCCAGTAGTTCCTAAAATTTGGAAATCCTCTAATTAGTAAAATCCTTTCAAAATACCAAAAACTCACCTAGGCTTCTATCAAAATTATTGTTATGGGACATTATAAGGCTACGTAACGTCGTTTCACAAAAACACTTAAAATGTAATATTGATTCACCATAAAAAAATCACAAAAATATTTTGACGAAGCAAGTCAAAAATGTATCTTCGTTCTCGACTTTTCACCACAGCACAAAATTACAATGAGCTACAATATGTTTGACATGTTTAACGTTGAACATCAATTAATTGACATTGAAGATTGAACACATAGATAATAGATTGAACACGTCTAATCATAGACAAGCTATGATCATAGATAATAGCATAGACAAGGTGCTGATAAAGTAATACCATAAAACACTTTCTTATTATTTTCGATTATTTGAAATTAAACTGCAGCTACTTTTCTTTTATTAATAATTGGTGATAGATGAGGAAATTGGTGTTATTGAAAAATGTTACTACTATGGTAACGACCATAGATAGTAGCGATTACGACTAATCTTAAGCACTATTGAACTAACCCATAGATAATCTAATCTATGAACTACCCTTTGTATATCTATTATCTATGGAACTAACCTAATCATAATAAACATAGACAAGATAGTAATAGTGAACTAATTTTAAGCAAGATATTGCAAACTAAATATGTATTAGAAAAGTTTAAAGATTTCTTCGGTAAAGGCAATTGAGAAGATTTTTAAAACATTAAAAATCTACAAATTTCCACCCGTTTTAATAATTATTAGTAGATTATTACTTCTGAAGGCAAGTAAGTAGACCTTGTTCTTCTGTTGCTACTTACATAATTGTTTTGTCGTTTTCGTAAAGTATCAGTACATCGCATATACTTAGGAAGTTTTAAGGTGCCAGATATCTGAAGGACAACCTCTGAAAGGTTTTGCAGATGATCTCATAAAGTCTTTTGTTCATATGTGTCTTTATAAGAAGAGTAGCAGATCATACACGTATGTCCATTTCACTTGAAAACGGGTCATTAATAGTTGATACTTTTTGCCTGAAAGAATAAAATTTTGAAAAATCACATTCAGGATTCCAATGGCAAGAGTCAAAAGCTTTATTCTCGTGCTTTGTTGAAAGTTCACTAAAATCATTGATTAGAAACTTAGATTTTTATAACTAATAGTGATTTCTATTGTAATATTAGCCTTTTCCAATGAGCAACTTATTTATTTTTGACAGAATAATTACGGAGGTATCATTTATCATTTTGATTGCAATAACACAATAAAATTCAAGTTTAAGGTACTTAACACCTCAAACAACAGTTTTAATCCTCTTATTCAAGTCGACAATTACAAAAACTATAGTGTCATTTACATAAAATATTAAACAACTAATGGTAATAATAACAAAAGCTATCTTCTGCTACATGCAGAATAAATTAATTTATAGAGAACTGGCAGCTAGAATTAGAATTTGTTAGGCACTTTTGGGACTTATGTAAAAATCATCAATTTATATATTTAACTTTTGTATAAGAACTTTCAGCTTGTTTTTTTATAAATAAATACAAAATAAGCACAAAATGAAGTTACTTTGTTTTAAAAATATAATTGAGACAAATCGCGAATTTACGAAGGTGAATTTCAATTAGCACAAAATGAATTAGTAAATTAATAAGGCAGGTTTGAAAATTAGAAAACTGATTTTTCCATTTCCTTGAAATTCTTAAAACTTAAATGACCATTGCTCAAATAGACCAATATGGAAAGTATATTTTTGTTAGCACAATGGATAGGACATTTGGTAGAACTACAGTCATTAAACCTATTATTAAAACTTAGAAAACATTCTTGTCTTATTAAGCCCTCCAATTAGAATAGAATTAGCCCACATCTATTGAACACACGTTATCAATAAAAAACGAAGTCAAAATATGCAGGCAGTAAGGTAATTTATTTATTTAAAATTACTTTAAGATTGCATAAATTTATGTAATTACTACTGTAAAAAACCATCAATTTCGTAACAATTTATTTTGAGTAAAATTGTTTAATCAAAAAAAAAAAATACAAACAAAAATATTAAAAAAAGACAAAAAACAAAACTACGAGATTTTAAAGGTAGAGAAATGTTTTATTACTGAAAAATGTTATTTTAAGACAAGTTAAACAGAAAGTGCTTCGACTGTACATAAAGATGAGATCATCGGACTCAAAACACTAGGTCTAGCACTGTTTTGTACTCAGTCAGGATAAAGGTGAATAATTTATATGCGTAATGAAACACAACATTATATATTTTTGCACTTTCAAATATAATATTATTATGGAGATACACCGAAATGCAATGTCCACATGGTATCAAATGAAATGTCAGAAATATTCCGACGTTAATAAAAAAAATAATCAAACCGAATTTTTAGGCAATCACAAACTTCAGGGAAACGGTCTTCACCAGTGTATAAATCGGAAAAGGCAAAAACCAAAATAAGGTTTTATCTTTTGGATCAGTATTCATATTATTTAGACAAATATGAAAAAATTTTGGAAAAACAACTGCCAGGGGCAATGAAAATATATAGGATATTTATGGAAGGAATTAAACATTTTTTCCGAGATTTTAAAGAATTTATAAAGATATACAGAGAAGTGAACTTTAGTACAAGAGACATTAGAACTTTGGAATTAAACCAATTAGAATTATATGATCAAATGCCAAGAGACATGCTTAAAATAGCACCTGTCCTTCTTATATCTGCTCTTCCACTTGCAAACTATGTTATATTTCCATTAGCCTTTTATTTTCCAAGGCAACTTCTTACTCATCATTTTTGGGATTTAAAACAGAAATCTGAATTTAGAATATACTTTCTTCGAAAACGACTGTTGCACAATCGACCGATTTTTAGACATTTACAAACCCAGTTGCCAAATTTAAGGTCACATGACCTACACAAACAGTGGTCCCATGTATTAGGTCAAATAGGAAGTGGTGTTCATCCTACTGCTTGTGAAATATTAGAATGTAAGGATCTATTTGAAGGAGAACCTTACCACATATATTACATCAGTGGGAACCATGTGGTAAGCATTTTGTATGTAGTATAAAAAAATTCTAAACTAGTCAACATTATATTAAATGTTGCTCAAATGGTGCCTTAACAGAGATCAAATATGCATNTTAACTAGTTTCTATTTCGAAGTAGTAATTGAACAAATATTAAAGGTGGTATTCAAATAGTGATGCATTATCGTTTGATTTAATAAACTTTGATTTTTGAAAAATTTATCTCAACTAAATAATCTACAAAAATTTTCATCACACATTTAATAAAAAATGCAAGAGGGATGTTTAGACAATTGCCAAATGTAACATGCATCGTTTATTTTTACTATTTTTACTGATTTTATTGTGAAATAGATTTTCTGCTAAAATTAAACTAGTAAACTTTGCATCACACTTCGACCACCTCCTTTATCAGAAACCCAAACACCTCAATGTGTTTAAGAATATTCCAATCCATTGGACAATTGATTTGTATGTATGGTTGTATTAAAAAGTGTACCGTTTTAATGTCGCATACTAAGAGAAAAAATTACGACCAACTCGTTTAAGTTAGTATTCTAAACAAAACCAAACAAAAAAAAAAGAAACGGAGGGACGAAGATATGAAAATTGCTATTTACAAAATTACACTTTTTCCAACAACAAATAAAATAAGAACACGAAGGAAAAAATAAATAAATTATTTATTTAAACAATTTCATTTTGTCCTTCACGTTGCCGTGCAGTTCTATTAATTTAAAATTACTTTAAGATTGCATAAATTTATGTAATTACTACTGTAAAAAACCATCAATTTCGTAACAATTTATTTTGAGTAAAATTGTTTAACAAAAAAAAAAAATACAAACAAAAATATTAAAAAAAGACAAAAAACAAAACTACGAGATTTTAAAGGTAGAGAAATGTTTTATTACTGAAAAATGNTTTTCCAACAACAAATAAAATAAGAACACGAAGGAAAAAATAAATAAATTATTATTAATCGCGCAAGCATCTCGCTTTGATTGATTAGGCGACAAAATTCCACTCATTTAAAGTGGAAGCGTTTTCCCTACAAAAATTAATTTCATTCAGTTACCTATCTCTTGGTATCACTAAATTTTCTTTCTTTCTCTCACGCATTCTCGCACACACCCTGCATATCGTGACTGGAATAAAATAAGTCTCTCTCCGTCCTTCTTACCTGTTTGTGTTTTTTTAGAATATAATCCAAAGGGATTTGTTGCCATTTTTCTTTTCATTTTCGTAAGAGTCAAATATCACAACACTGACGAGAAAAAGCGTGCATCACTTGAGATACGATTTGTACAGGAGCGGACTTTTACAAAGATCCTTTTCCGTTTCAAACAAAAATTGCAGATCTCTTAACGTGACCTTTTTCATTCTTGCCCTTAGCGGTAACTGACCTCTCGCGCCACTGTGGAAAGACCCAGTACTTGTCTGAAAAAAGGAAACACAATCAAGGTAATCAGAATAACACTCATCTGAAAAATATATGGTGTTGCTGGAAGTGACGATAAGTCTTTTATAACAAGTAAATATTTTTTAATTGCTTTTGGAAAGGGTGGTAAAATAGAAACTTGAAAAAAAAAAATGAGAAGTAGTAACAATCTGATATTAATTTCTTTTGAAAACTCACCTGTGATGAACCAGCGCTAGCATCTCCGTCAAGTCGAGGTTTCTTCCGAGGACCAATAGCTTGGAGCGCAGTTGCATTTGCCTCTCGTTGTCTCAGTTCTTCCATTTCAACCCTTTGCATTTCTTTCGCTTTCGCTTTTAATTTGGCTTGTTCTGGATCTTCCGTTTTCGATCGACTTTTTGCCGCTCTTAGTAACATTTCTCGCTCCAACTCTTCATGCCTTTTTCGTTCTGCTCGGTCTAGGTCCTCCAGAAACTTCAACTGACCTGAAACAAGATATCTGTTACTGCTACAATTTTCTCCAAATATAAAATTCTGTAAATCGAAACAAAAAATACTACTTTTACAAGGAAATAAAAGTTTACAATTATTATATTCATAAAACTAATTTAACCAACAACAAAGACAGTATTTTTTACAAAGCAAAAGGATGTACCTTTGATATCACTGGTAACCTCGTATCGTTGATCTGTCTTCACCATTTCTAGACGGTGTTCTGTAATAATCGATAATTTCTCGATCAAATTTTTGAGTCGTTCTTGTACAGCATGCGAAACACAGGCAACTACTTCGTTACTGGGTTCATCGAGACCGTGCTTTTGCATTACTTGTCGTAGTTTTTGTTGCAACGGTCCCATATTTAGTAAAACATCCTCTTTACAAGACCGAATTTGTGTACCAACAAATTCCGTCGATCCCAGAATTTTTTGCGTTTCTTCGGCCAAATTAACACCACCCATAGCGGCCACATCGTTGATGTCATCATCACCGGCAACATTTCCCGCGTAAGCCGCCGCAGCCGCGGACGCCGAAAACGACGCCTTTTTGTCCTTGTCTTTAGAGGACTTTGACGTTGACGAAGGCACTGATGGTTTTCCGGATGATACGCCAAGCGATTTTTGAGAAGCAGCTTGAGTACCGGACGCTCCGGTTCCCTTGACTTGTACGGGCGTCGCTGCCGTTCGAACGGCTACTGGCGTACGCACCTGAACAGGCTGCTGACGTACTACTGTCGCACCGGTCGCGCGGACTTGATTAGTTGCGGGAAAAACAGGATGAAGAGCGGGAGGCTGTGAGCTTGATACCGCAACGGGCGTCGCAACGGAGTTCGGTTGGCGTATAGTAGCCACCATTCTTGTAGTTTGTTGAACAGCACCACGTACAGGGGTAACAAGACGTTGTTGAACGACGTGACCAGCACCAGCAGGTCGTACGACGGTCGCACCAGGCGCTACAAGTCGCACTTGGGATGATGCAACCGCGGCAGGTCGTACTTGAGTGGATACCGTCGCGACGGCAGCCGTCCCACTCTGTATGGAAAAGACGACGTTGGCGGGTGGTGGACGGATACCGTCTATCGACAGTTCTTTCGTGGCGAGCGAATGTCGTAACAGCGGTAAGCTTTTCTGCAGAAAAAGGACAATTATAAAACTAGACTTAACCATAATAGATATACTAAAAATTTTGAGATACAGAAGAACTCCTGGTAATGAAACATTTTTATAAGCACTTTAAGGAGAGTTCAAATTTCCTTTACTTTTGCAGACAAGACAGTATAAATGATAGAAACGGATCTTATTGACATTAAGAATAGTTATTAGAATGAAATAAAATATTTTTTTTGTGTACGTATAGATTTCCACTACCTAAACAAATTATGATCATCGCTCTTTAAAAAATAAATCGTCCAAATGCAAAAAGATGGTTCATTTCACACACTTTACGTCACTCTGAGAGCGGAGGATAACAGTTACTAACGATAATAATACAAAGATCCCTAGCTAACTGCAGATGTTACTTTCATATACATCTGTACTTACACATACATATATGTAGATATGTTTCTTCAATATTATAAATAACTTATTTTAATGAAATATTATCATCAAGGCAATTTTAACTTTCTTTCACCAATAAGAGATTTGGTTATACATTGCACTGTATTGCAGTTTGGACAATCATTAATATATGTATCTTTAAAAGTCAATAATTTGATTTTTAAATCACGTTTACTTGTTTTTTAAAGCAATTTGGTGATAATCATACGAGTAATTTTTAAGACAATTATAAAAATTGTCAATTTTGGTTAATTTATTATTTTTATCTCTATCGATTTTAGAAGGTTACAATAGAAACTGTAGCTGACTGTTTACTTTAACTAAAATAAAATACTGGAACCCCAAATACCACATACAACGTTTAAAAAATTAAAATGCTTTTTGATTCCCAGTGTCACTATCGATTAGACGAGGGTGTTATAACGAGTTTTAGGTTTTTAAACGTTTAATATGGAAGTTTGGGTTTTAGCGTTTTATCAGTTCCATTTATTATTTTTTTTTTTAATTTATTTTATTGTAGTGAATAAGAGAATTAAAGGTTTTTGAAAAAGCGGCAGTTGTATTTAAAACATATTACTAGATAAAAACTCACTTTTATCCAGCTTTTTGTGAATTTACCTTTAAAAATCCAATGAGGCACGGTTGTGGCGAAGCATTTAGAAGACGTTCGAGCCGATCGCAAAAATCTTCGGGTTCGACGTGCATGTCTATTAGTTCTTGAATTAAGGTTCTTACACTACGTTCTACAGACTTGGGTTCTCTGCTTGACAATTCTAGAAGGTTTGCTAGGAACTTGCGGCACTTTTCTTTGGTATTGTCGTTTGCCGGTCTCTGAAAAAGTAAACGTCTTTAAAGTATACCACGACGAATTATTACGATAACATTTAGAATATTGTAAGTATCTCAGTATACTACATGAAAATCCCTGATTAATAAAAAATTTTTAATATCATACACGTCATGTGTTCAAAACAATACTTGATGTATGTAATGGTTAATGGGATTAATGTTCAATTCAATAATAAAAAAGGATTTCCCACCTGCACAGGGGTTGCTGTTTGTACCACTGTTGGAACTGCAGAATTATTGACAGTTGTGACTCCAGAGGCAGGTGCAGGGCTGGATACAGGAGCAGCTGTTGCTCCCTAATAAAACATTTAGGATTCAAAACCACTGGTGGTGTTAACTACATAAATGTTAATATAAAAAACGACTACACAATTTTTCGTGTAATTTATGTACGGAAAAAACCAAATCCCAAATAATAAAGTAACTTTTAATCAAATCAATCCAATTATATTGTTTCTAATTTTTTTAAGTAACACAATACATACGTATTAACTAAAATACTTAAAAAAAATCTTCAACAGATAATTTAATTCAGAGACAAAACAATACAATAGAGCTAACTTTAACTGACATTAGATAGATACGATATAAAGATATAAAAAATTAAGTTATTAATATAGTACCTTACCTCAAGAAATCAAAGATTTCAGAAAGTCTGTATTTGTTGCAAGACCATTCCAACAGAATATAATTTTTAAGTATCTAAGCAAATAAAAGCAGCATATGCTAGATAAAATAATAAAACTACTACCCTCTAATAATAATTTCAGACAGCAAAATTAACTTTTTTTTTAAACTAAACTTGAATAAATAATGTTGTTCAAATAAAACTATATTTCTGTAGTTTTAAAGGGAGCTAGTGGATACATGCGTAAGTCCTATTACAGCAAATTACCTACAAAAAATATATAATCATGCAAACTGCTGAAGTGATTTGCTAATGTTAAAAAATTTCTCTACCAATACTACTCGAAATAATTAAAATTTTGAATATGCATGCCTCTTCCACATGAGCTTATAAAACTAGCTGAGTAAGTATATTGAAACGTTTTATGATTTGTTTAAATAACAATTACTTCAAATTTTGGAGACTACTATTAATTTGAATTAAAATAATCAGTTTCTTAATAATAAGAATATAAAACTGTTCAAATTTATAACAACTGATGCTATCTATCATTTTATGGGATTGAATTTCTTTATGGAGTGATAGAAGCTCATGTAAGGAAATGAAACAGGAAAGAGCGTTCAATGGCTGATAGATATTTCAAAATATTCGCTAAAAAGTGAGAGAAAAAAAAAAGAAAATTAAGAACTACCTCAAAATATTAATCAAATATAATTGAATAGAAAAATACGTAGCATATTTCTGTTTTGTTCACCTGTTGGACTATGGTCTTTTGTGGTGCTATAGTGGCAATAGTAGGACCGGGTGTGAACTGAATGTTGAGCCTACTTACTGCTGGCACTGCTTGCATACGAAACGTGACCGGTGTCGTTGCACCGGGGACCGAGCTTGCAGGCAACCCCGTCGCAACACCCGGTGCAGGCCCCACACGTAACAACTGGTACTGACCATTTTCTGTTTTGAGCAACAGGTGTCCTTGCTGACCAGGCTGTAGACCATGTAAACTTTGAAGAGTTAACTGCTAAAAGAATAAATTGACATTAATACTACTGATTTTTATAAACAATGTTATTTATAAAATTAAAATTAATAAATAATGTAAAAGTGAGGATAACTTTTTCAGAATTTTATTTAAATCTTAAAAAGAAATCCAAACTTATTAATAGATCAACTTCTTAGCAGTTATGTTAACGCAACTTTCAACAAAAACTAAATTAACTTACATAATTCTATAAATGTTTTTCTTGTAAGTACTTCATTTGTATTTTCAATTTGAATAACTGCTTACATGTTTATCTAATACAATAATACATAATTACAAAAATAATATTACTGCCAGTATTTTATTTGCCAAAAGTACAATTTACTTAAGAAGCCCATCATCATCATGAATTTGTTAGTAAAGAAGTATGGAGATGTTAATATCCAATAGCGTCAACAGGTTGCGTACACTTTTTCAAATGCTTTCTTCATAATTAATTTTCTTAAGAATTTAATAGAATAAAAAAAAATTAATAATTATTAGAGGAAGTTTTGTTGTACCTGTGTACATATAAAGTTTGTGTATAAGAAAAAACTGACCAACAAATTTTAGAATGGCCAAGCAGTTTCTAAAACTAATAAATATTTTTTGAATCAATATTAGTATTTATTTATAATCTTCAGAAATAAACATGATTTTAGGTTATGTCAGCAGAATTGGACTTGTTGCTCAGTTTTTTGCGTTTTTGGTAAATTTCAAAGTAAAAAACAACATTTCAAGCAATACTTCTATAAAAAATTTACCAGTAAACACCTGGCCATAGTATTTCTGTTGAAGTTCAAGATTTAAACATGATAATAGAATTCAATCTAAGTATGTACTTCTTTAAAAACACAGACATCAAATTTCCTCATTTGACAAGTGTACGTCAACTTACTGGAGCTCCAGGACGGGCCCCAACCATCTGTGGTGCACTAAGCACAACCCGAGCTGGCTGGCCCTTCTGTGGTTGTGTGGGTACCCCAGGACGTACGTTAACTAATTGAAGATTAGAAAGGACAGTGGTAGAGGATTGTGACGAAGGAGTACCTACATTATTAACCTGTGGCACTGGCGAAACGTTCATGGGTAATGTTACTAAACCGGGTGAACCTGCAGGTGCCCCACTAGTTTTTATTACTATTGTGGGTTGTTTGGCTTGTATTGTTTGCACATTTGTGGTGGTTGTCTGAAGAACAGTTTGGGGTGTAAGAGAAGACAACCCAATGGTACCATTAGGTATAGTCTGAGACGTGGGGAAAGTGGCGACCCTGTTGGAAAGGACCGCTGCCGCACTAGTCATTGTCTGTCCACTTTGTGAAAACACTACTTTAACACCACCGCCACCACCACCAGTATCATTAGCCTTTGAGGTCTGTGAGTTACTGCTGTTATTGTTGTGATTATTATTGTTCACTTGGTTCACATAACTAGTCGTGACGGCTCCTGTAGCTACCTGGGCCGCCGCGCCCGTGATTATAGTGCCGGATAACGCATTATTCACTACCAGTTTGTTAGTATCCGCGGTTGTTGCCGAGCTAACTATAGACTCGCCGTTTATGATGGCCCCATGTTTCTGTGAGGGAACTGTCCCGCCATTAGATATTGCACTGTTTATATGATTTTGGTTAATTCCGATGCTTGTATTTGACTGGATCGACACCGCCGGCGTCGATGTGACGAGCTGGTTCTCTAAAGAACCCACAATTGCATTCACGGCCGACTCATCGACGTCTGATCTTAGAGCTTCTTCGAGAAACTTAGCAGACGCCATTTTCTGCCGAGACCCAACTGTAAACTGAGGAACGCATGCGCCTTCCTTTCATGCAGGCCTATGTTTAATTTTTGGGTCTGCGCATTTTACATGCATCTTACGCTGTTGCTGTTCACAACAAAGCAAATGTTGAACATGTGATGAAAGGGAATTGCGTGGTAGGTTTTGTTATTTCCAACTTTGCTTTTCATTTCATTCTTCATTCCAAGTCGATCTGAGGGAAATTTTGATATGTTTCCCTTTTTAATTGTCAATATAAGTTACGCTTACCATGTACTGAAATTGACAACACGACGCGTGTCAGCACAATTTGACAGAAAACTGATAAGTCATCACCTAAGAAGGAAGTAGAACAAACCCGCGAACTACAAACCGGTATTAACACAATATAAATAAACAATATTTTTTACCGTTAATAGGTATCTCATTTTTACACAAAACTGCAACTATTATAAAAATGTAGCTAATAATATATGTATAAGCGTGTATCTTGTTTAAAAACCATAAATGTAAGAGTAACTGTATATAATACAGATACTTTAAAGATATGATGGTATCAGTACAAGTAAAATTAAGAAAAAAACATCAATTACTCATAAGTACATTGGATTAAGCAGATTAAGAAAAGAAAATTACATTTATATTAATTATTCTTACCTGTATATATTTTAATAAATTTATCAAAATCTAAGCACTGTTGCCAATACGTTTATAAACATTTCAAATTACCTACCTTGATAAAATTACATAATACATAAATATGCCAAGTACTGTCTCAATTAAATGCAATTAACGATAACTTTCAGTTTAATTAATTTTAATTTATTAAAACAGCGCCAAAAACTGATCAAATTTGATTTTATAGCTTCAATGGACATGTATTTATATTTGCGTCATAAAAATATTAGGAAACCCAGATAATACGATTCTTTTGAATTTAATGTTGACTATTAAAGAAAATGAAAACTTTTATTTTCTACTGTTTTATTTCTCAACTTTCCCAGTATCTCAAATTTTACGAAATTACAACTGGCGCGAAATTTAATTTGATTCAAATAACAATATTTTTTATATAAAATGAAGCTTTTATGAAAACTGTTATAATAAAAAATAAATAAAACGTTAATCAAAAGATGGTGTTTATTACAAAAAAAGGATATGAACAAGTAACACAATTAGTATGTTTTATAATATTTTAATCTAAATAATGAAACTACCGCTTTTTTGTTACCAATTGCTAAATATCCGCTCCCTGGAGATATATTCATAGCCGTGATATATCCCATCTTAGCGCCAAACGTAGGAAAATTACTAAAAACAGTTCCTGATTCTACATGCAGTATGCGCACAGAATTTTCAATATTTTCTGAAGAAAGAGCAAGTATTTCAGACGTACTGTTAAAAGAGAGGTCTTTTATACTTGTAGTTAAATTAAGGACACTTTTCCTGGGTTGGGGTATTGTTTTATTTAGTACTTCGCTCATTTCATAAAGATTAACAACACCTTGACAGGAACCAGTTGCGATATATT